ATTTTTTTATAATAAATTTGTATTAAAAAATAAAAGTTGATCTTTAATTTTTTAACTATTCAATTAAATTTATTCATTGAGTACTGATACTAAAATTAATATCGTCTTTTATATTTTTTTTATATACATTTATGATTAAAAAAAAAGTACCTTTAACTTATACCATTAAAAAAAAGTACCTTTAACCTTATCTTTAGAGGATAGGTTAGAAAAACCTTTTATTCATTTGACACTTGTAATATTAAGTATATTCACTTATTTAATGACATATAAAAGTTGTATAAAAAATAATATAAAAAAATTAGTCATATATCACCAAAAAAAAAAAAGAGAAAGTAAAGAAAAAATAAAAGGAAGACATTCAATATCACAAATTTTAAATGAATAAAAGGTTTTTCTTTTTAACATGTACTCTAAGCATATTTTTTAATGATAAATATATATAAAGAATATAAAAATTAATATTAATTTTAGTGTCAATGCTAAATAAATGAATTTAATTAAACAATTAAAAAATTAAAGGTTAATTTTTATTTTTTCAACATAAATTTATTAAAAAAATGCATTTACTGTATTCTTAAAACACAAATTAGATAAACACATGAAAAAAAAATAATTATTTAAATAATATATAAGATTGTACAAAAGGATAATATAAAAAGATGTTCCTAAATCTTTTCTTCTCTTTTTTTTTTTTCTACGTCCAAGTGGACAAACCAAATGTCAAATCCCTTATCACATAAGCATGACATGACAATATTTTGCCACATGAGTGAGTCTCTAATGGCAGTTAAGTTGGGAGTAAGAGTAAGGGGTAAATTGCTTCCATTGGAGAGTTTAGGGGCTTATATGTATCAATTAAAGTCTAGAGGCTCAATAACAATTTTGGAGTTAGTTCAGGGGCCTAACTTATGGTTTTACCTTAAATCTAAGTACCCAACCAACAACTATTATTCTATTTTTCTTTTTTTGAACATTATTATTCTATTTTTCTAAAAAAGAAAAAAACCTATTGCTCATTTTTAACCGAAACCTATTTTTAAAATTCACTTCTTCTTCTTCTTCTTTTATTTTCATTTTATTTAAAAAATTCCACTTCTTTTAAATTAGACCCAACTCATTACATATTTCAATTTTAAATGATAAAGGATAATTAAATTAAGTGAACATTTAAAAAAAAAAATCTAACTATCTATTTTTTTAACCTTTATATTAATAACTTTTTTAATTTTTTAATAGTATTTAGAAAGAAATGGGAATTTCTGTAGAGATCACATTTCCAATAAACAGATTGAAGAAAACTAAGCTGTTTTGATAATTAAAAGTTTTCCCTTCCGAGTTGGCAATTTTGGAAATGATATGTGCAGATGTAAGAGACTGGATACTTGGCTTCGCAATGCTCAGAGCATCTCTTATATCACGGAATAAAGCAGCTAATTGGGGTTGGAAATCTTATGTGCACATAATTCTATTAATTAGAATAGGATTTTTGGGTTTAATGATTTATTTTCAAATCTTAATATTTAAATTTAATTTATTAAAAATTTGATTCTTACTAACTACTTGAAAAATTCCCCTTTCTCCTATAATTGCTCATGTTTGGAAAAAAATAACTCTATTAATTGACTTTTTACTGTTGTTCATTCATTGTTTGATTGTTTTGTTTATTAATCACATAACTTGGTAGCAACTTTTAAGTGAATTACTTTATATAATTGTAGTCTCTTATAGGACAATTTAATGGTTAAAAACTTAAGTTTTTACTTTAAAAATCTTAAATTTAAATTTTGATATAAATGAAAAAGAATTTAAAAAAATAATTATTTTTTATTATTTAATTCATCATCTAACATAGTAAAAAGAAATTTTATATCATTGTATTTTAGATAATAAAAATTTACATATTACTTTAAAAATATTTTTAATAAATTAACTCACAATAAAATTTTTTTAATAACATTTAAAAAATTTCACCAAATAATTTTAATACATTATAAATGAAAACACATCTTAATATTTATTTTCCTCTCGAACAAATAAAATAAGTTTATGCAAC